GGACCAAGTTCAGACAGTGTCCTTCCAATAAAAAGCTTGAGGCCGTTGTACTTTTCGCACTCGCGCTCTCGCAACCACTTTGTTGGAATATAGCTACTGTGCTCCCTTCCGTGAGTCTTTTTCTCTCCGACACTAGGCACTGGAGCGGATCAGCAGCAGATACCACAGCCCGGCGAATCAGCAGATATAACAGTACACAATCCCAAAAATGCAAAATCCAAATTAAAAATGAACGTTCTTTCTGTACCGCTGTTTCGCTTTAAGAGCTCGAAAAATTTATTCTGATGGCAATCGAGGAAGGAAACGAGTGTTAGTAAAAATAACTCGAAGGAAAAAGGCTCACTTGATCTGTAGAAAGTAGTCAAAATAAAAGTAACAGAAACGGTCAGACCTTCCTTTGCATTCCCTTCAAACAGCCTGAGTAATAACTAGGTCCGTGTTCAATGCTACGAATGGTCCTGCTACCGTAACAACTAGAGTATTACGGACAATCTCCACCAACGGCCTTGAACTCAAGTTACAAACATTGGTACCGCTTATCCTCGACAATACTTCGATTTGCAACCCAGACCTCTTGTACGTTAGACAAGTGTGTTAACGGTACTCCACTGGTACAGACTGGATGAACGCATATTGCTACCGGAAAATAAACGAAATGTTTTCGGATTTGATTCAAGTGGTTTTTGACCTGGGCCGCGGAATCCGACGACCATGTTCCGTTCGTTGACTTCACAGTCAGATAGTGCAATGGACATTTACAACTTACTGAAAAAGTTCTGTTTGTTTACTCGCGACTGGAGACAGCCCTTGTAATGTCGTTTGTACAAAACGTCGGTTGAGTGCATTGATGGTGGTTACGCAGCTGAACATGCTGCATTCCAAGCGTGAAACTGCTTACTCATCATCAGCAAGTAGTATATATTAAGTAAATTCATGGCTAATGGAACACCATGCAGTCAGTGAGACCGGTCAGGCGATGAAAGTCAATAGTTCTATTCAGACCGAATGTTTAGATTTGATGGTTAAACACATCGGTGACAAATGCAATTCGTTCCGCATTACTTCAAACATTACTTCAAATCCACTTCACAAGAAAACCAATATGAATGCCCTTTTCATGTAATGTGGAACGGGTAATTGTTGTGAACCACAGTCTTCTTTTTACGGTGAACCCCGGTCTGGATAGCCGCCTGATCACCTAGTGCGCTTGACCAAACCAGAAAAAGTCAATGAACGTCCGAACCAGCTGATCTATTGGTCACTGTCGCATACAAGCGGATCAAAAAAAGGATACTAAGAATACAACTCATCTGTCAAGGGCGAGTGAAGAACAACTAATGAAATCTGTCTCGACGAAAACGGTTATTGGCTGTTATGTAGTCCCGTTATGTTCGGAGCTTGCCCTCCTAATAGTAATCACTAAAATCTGTCGCAGTTATTACAAATACAGAGTCAGGGTAGTTACAAGTATGCAGGTTAAGCTCCTACAGAAAAAAGCACAGTTCATATGGTCTGAGATTAAAATTCTACCGAGGTTTTCGAGTAATTGTAGTTTGCTTCTTAGATGTGCATATGTCACTAAGAGAGAGGGAATGTAAACACTGACCTGCGACAAAATCTCGGTTCATGAGGTTTTGACAAAAGTCAACTGTTAACAGCAATCAAGTGACTTCAGCCTACGCTGAATTGCTCACAAGCTCTGTGTATCGGTTTCATCTTTATTGGCATTCACCAGCACCACGCATCTCTCGAATATTCAGGCACATTCGGACACGTGACCTCCGGCCCCTAGTTCAAGACTAAACCATTCAGTGATGAGTGGCTGATATGCAGGAAAATTAACTCACATGCATACAGGGTACGGTAATAATCACCCTACTACAATCAAGCGATTCATATAATAAATCCACGTATTCCCTGGCTCTTCGGCTGAGGAATCCTCAAGAAGAAGCAGCTATACAATGCCCCTCGGCTTTCATCACACACTGACTTGATCTACAGTAAAATCCAGTTCTCCAGAAAGGGATCAGAATAATCGTTAGTAAAATTTGATCGATCGAGCGCAATAGGCGCATCTTACGGGCTGATCCAACTTTTTACGCTCTGACTCCTTCCTATTAATTCTCAAGTAAGGAAGCTGTTTGGATGATGACGCACGATTTTCGAGAGGTGAATAGTTGATGAAGTACATTATAGCTATCCTGTGAACCACAGGCTGCTTTCCCATTAATCGAAAAACGGCCGCATCAGTCCAATATTCAATCTGGATTGGATCGATCATTTCAGCATATATCCTCCGTATTTTGTTTACTTACAAAAGTCGAGCCCTGCTCCGTAGTTTCACGATGGTTTGAATAAAACCTTTTAGTTCCGTTACTTTACAAATAATTCACTGGACCGCTGCGTCCGGCACGACTTTTAGTTGCACATACTACTTACATGTTATGAGTAAGCGGTAACTAGCTAACAATCTGTCTTCCGCGGTACTATGGCTAAAATGGGTGCATGAGGCCAGCCTCTATAAACCTCTGCATTTATTCAAAAGTAATCAAAAGGAATTTCTCAGAAGTTTTCGAACGTCCATAGTGTTATCAGGACTGGAAGCCCTGATACGTGAGTCAACCCGTCAATAAAACTAAGACAGCCACTAGGACGGACCAGTCACTTCGGCTCAAGTATGAAAACCGTCTTTTCAGACGTGATAATTCCGTTACACAGAGCCCGCACTCAGGTACCGGCAACATATTTGCCTTGCGTGTAGGAGGTCCGGGATACAAACCACTGCTTTAGTAAGAATATGCACTACTGAGAAGCTGGAGTGTTAGGGACCCTTGAAGAGAAGGATCTCCGACATTTGATGTGGATTGAATATGGTACATTATCCAGGATAAGGGGAGGACTTCTCAAGTAAAAGCGTTAATAGTGTGAACCGTGCTGAACTGGCCAGAAGACCAAGTTTACACAACAGCGCCATCACAGAGTTTTCGTCGGAAAAAAAAATATTTTTTTGGTCTTGATGAGTGTCTCAAAGTAGCATGGAATGAATCTGGGTACACTTTACTTCAATATATCATGCCACCCTCATTGAGTCATCCAGAATTTCCTAGTTTGTGCTCACACAGAATGCAGGTCCGTGAGCAGGAAGAAAGCGCACGACCACATTTCCAGCACAATGTTAATGGAAACAGGTTCGACTGTTAAGCTCCTAGCGCGAAGTTTCAGCAAGAGGGTCATAGGTCTCATTACACTACACTAAAGTATGGAGTTTCATGCGTGTCGCGCTTGACCCCAAGTTATGTCGTTTTTATAAGGCTCGTTCTACTTACGCGTTTTTCACTGCAAATGCGAGTGAGTTTATAGATGTTATGTGTGGTAAGTTGGTGTGGGATACTCTGGGACTTGGTCGGAAATGAAATACCTCAGAGACCACGCGTAATGTAGCAGGAGGCGTTCAAGCTGAAACAGTTATAAGTTTTATCTTCCGGTTTTAGCAACCTGATGTCCTTGAACGCTATGAATGGTATGACTCATTTCGTCGAGGCGGTGTCAGAGGGCGTGTTCCGTTTACTGTGAAGACTGATGAGCCTCTGCGGGTAGTCGTTTGCGAACAGTGAAGGATTAACGAAGGCCTCGTCTTCAGTCACTTGGGAGAGAAGCATATGCGTCGTGGATCGACTAGCCGGACAGGAATGCTTCCTGATACAGACTGTGACCGCCACAACCTGAACGGACCTGGTCATCGCCCTTCACATTAAACCGAACACGTCCACCGAGGTGATTGGCACTGGCGAGAAACATCTAATCCGTCGACTAACTAATGGGTGTTTTCGATTTTCTTTCCCCAAACAAACAGGTGGACAGTTATCAACTGCAACAAACGAGAAACGAAAGCTTTTGCCTCCTTAGGTACAGTGCAGTGCCATCAAGTCGAAGAATGACCTCAACCAGGTATCCTAAATAAACGCGATTCACTATTTTGTTAGGCAAACCGACTTTATATTCCCCCTGAATAGTTCCACAGAATAGTTAAGGAAAATACGGGGCAAACAGCGGCATGGTATATGTAAGATTTCTGATACTCCTAAGCATTAACCTGTGCCACCGAGAGTCAGAACAAAACCGGGGTGTTCCCCAACCCCTTGTACATTGGACATGCACATGCTCCTGAAATGTGCTTGAGTAGCGTCTACTTAAGACTTCGTGACCGTCTTTCGAAGTGTCTAGCAATCAGGGTTGTCCCATCTAAACACCTTTCCATTGTTAAGGGGCCATATGTTACATCATGTAGTCACACATGTGACCACGGTAACCTCATGCTAGAATAATAAGATGCTTGCTCTGAATCTGATAACAGGCAACCAACGTGGCTGGCGATGTGGGTTGTGATTGCCTCTGAAGTTGCTTCGAGATATTCTTGGATACACCAATTTGAAACCTAAAGTTTTACGCGGAAGGGTGTTTTCAACTTCCAAGACACTTGCTGTATCGATCGATCCGATCGTTCAGTTGTAGCACCCTTTCGGTGCCTAGCTGAAATGCCACGCGAAGGAAGCACGAGGGCTGGGATACTGCCAGGTTGCCCAAACCTAGACAGGAGAAGTCTAAATACACAGGTCGGGTTGGAACCACAGGCCTTCCGGTCAGTAAATTCACGCTGTAACAACTGAGTCACCTCGCCCCTCTCGATGCGATTAAAACAAGAACCGGTAGGCAACTCGGAACGCTTTAAGCAGTTCATCCGCTTGGTCAACAGAAATGAAGACTTAGGCGTTACACTGACGAACTCATGAAGGCGAATCTCCCATGCAGTTGAAGCCACCAGCGTGACCAATCGTGGCTTCGAATAGATACTTTATTTTACCGGTAGATCCCATTGGTCTTGTCTGATATTTCACTGTCTGGAAATATTGTTCTGTCATTATAAGGATCCACAAGATCTTCAACAAGATGGTGTGTTCAAAAGAAGCTTTAATGAAAATGGCAAGGTAGCTAAAGCGAGCTGGCATCTTGAGGGAATCGGACGCGTTCTCCTCATGAAGGGGGTACTTACAGAGGGATTTCTGTTCATGCGCCTCTATTGTCATGTGCGGATACTTTAACGTGCTTAACCGAACTGAACTCGAGAAGTTCCAGATGGTCAGATATGTTGTCTATACATGTATAAGAGACATTACAAACTGGTCGTACAAAAGGGAACAATCTGGCGGATGGGACAGATGATGATGACAGATGAAACAAAAATGCGTAGTCGTAAAGTGCCATGAATGGAAATATTTTGGCTCACGATTCCTAGACAAGTTCAAATTCCATTCATTGATATTGCTGCCGACTGAACCTGATGTAACGGTAGGCCGGCAGTAACACCGCTGTTGCTGTTTTGCTGACATGCGGCTGTTGCCGAGATCTTCTCCGCTATTGCACTGCTACCGTGTTCTTCACCATTGCTGATGGGCAAATTTTCGCTGGGCTCCTCTGCCGGTTCTTCCATCTGTAGGTGTCCGTCCTCGCCGGCGGCATCGGACAGTTCAGCAGCAGGTTCCTCTTCCTCCTCCTCCTCCTCTTCTATGAGGGTACGCTGTTGCTCAGGTTCCTCTTCTTCGACTTGAACCGGCTCCGGACACCCGTCCAACAATCCGTCACCCCAGTCAATAGGAAACCGAGTGACCCGGGGATCACTAGCGATGATGTGCCGTTCGAGCTAGACAAGAGGGAAANTACAACTACCGAAAGTGGAGGCAGTGAATGATCGTTTAGAGTGAAGCAATCAATCAAGCCCACACGAGTAGTGCACATAAGTCTACGACTACTGTACGCGAATGCAGCAAATCAATTCGAAAACAAAACAAAAGAAGTTATCCAACAGTTATGCCGGGCTAGTGCATCCCGTCCCAAGGCCTTAAAGTACAATGAAAAGTCACAGACACAATGACCAAGGTCACATGTGGTCCGAAGAAGAGTCGGGGTTAACGTTCGCGGAGCGACAGGAAAAACCAGATTCTTAGAAAAAAGGAATAAACGTTTGGGCGATGTGTTTGGAACGTAAACAGAAAAACGAATTCGCTAAACCGTTGAGAAAAAAGAAGACAATGGCTAAACCACTGTCGGAAATAGGGTACTTGAGCAATTCGCCGAGGCGAGTTGCTTGATCGTCATCATTCTGGAGAATAACACCTTACTACAGAACAACCGCAAAGTAAATTGCCACCTCCCTGGAAGTGGTGTTCATTCCCAAAGTATAATCAGACAATCTAGATGGAAACTGGCAGCACGAATACCACCAAAACCGGTTAGTCATCATCACTCGCAACGCTTCTAGCCAGGCATAACAACGCATAACAACATTCAGGCCTTTTGTACTCTGTTCTGAACCCTTCTGCGAATTCACACATTGACCAGCAGGCAGTCAGCGTCCTTCTGAAAAAGGCAGGGAAAAGGATACTTTACGGCGATTTGGAATAGGTTCCAGGTGACCGAGCCACCACAGCTGATGGTGCAGCATGATTTCTTGACATTTACACTGGTTAAAAATTTTAATGAGACGAAGTAGACCAAATTACATCGAAGCCATGCGTGCTTATTGTGACATCGTCTCGTCTCCTGTTGGCACCTTGTTTTCTTGTTGCCTGAACATTCTGATCTAAACGTAACACCCTAACCATAAGGTTGCTGAAAACTCTTCGACAGTGCGTCATGCTTCGGCAATATATTGCGGCATCTCGAATATGGTACCGATTGAAGCCTAAGGCGGCCTACTGCAGTACATTCTGTTGAAACGAACCACCATAAACGAGAGATTCAGCTGGATTAAGTTGAGTGTTTTGTCGAAACCACATTCGTGTGCAGAAATGTCTAACCTTGTTATTCGCACATACGAAAAATCCGCTCAGATTTGTCCAGTCTGTTCTGTATGTCACTTGATGTGTAGGCTATGGGGCTGCAATGAACTAAGAGTTGACGGTGTAACGCAGTCAAAAACGATTACTTACAGCCCATCAAAACGGAGAATCAACGGCTTCGTCTAATATACACAAACAGTGGAGCTAAAAAGAACATCACAACTAGACAGTTAGTTTATAAGACCACGTCGGAAGTAAACTATCATATGAGATTCGGATTAGATAAATACACACTAACTTCCGGTAGATCCCCCAGAGGGGCCGAGATGGCTCAAGTGGTAAGAATGCGAATTGACTGACCGGAAGGTCCGTGGTTCGAACATGACCTCTGTGTCTCGACTTCCTCTGTCTAGGCTTGGGCAACCTGGCAGTATCCCAGCCCTCGTGCTTCCTTCGGGTAGCATGGCAGCTAGGCACCGGAAGGGTGTTACAGCTGAACGATTTTTATAGATCCTCCGGTTTCAGTGTAAGGCAACAGCTTTCCGTAGCAAACTTGAAAAGTCATACAGCACTGCAGGTTTGTACAATAATTCGGATGTATTTCGCTGCTCCTCTTTTGAAGTGTGCCCCAGTCAACATAAGAGAGAAGAAATGAAAATACAATCTAGCGAAAAAGGGGGTGGAATTCGGTAAATCAGTCTCCAAAGTATCAGTCAGGGTGGATGAGGAGACGAACAACTGCTTCTGTCTACACAAGCAGGTTTCCATTTTACAATGGCAACCAGGTCAGGGAATCCAAGCAACCGTCCGTTGGCTGTGCAATGTGCAATTTCTTACAGTACCCGACCTATGAATGTCACCTTGCCGTGGTGGTATGGCTTCAGTGTTGAAATGACCCGACAGGCTACTTGGCTAGTTTTCGACTTTTGGGGAGCGCGCCGACGGTAATTCGCATGCTCCAAAGGGTACAAGGACATCGTGCAAAAGCCACCGGGACATCAATCTAGTGGCCAGTTTCCAAGGCGCTTTCTGGCATCGTCCTATGAAGGATGAACGATCACCAAAAGAGTCAGATTAGGTTTCGCCCTGGCCAGGGTTGCATCCATCATATCTTCACCTTGCGACAAGTAGTGGAGCTACACCACCACCTTCAACTATGAACAATTGACGTATTTCTCCATCTCACATCTGCTTTTGACTCCGTTGATGGTCAAAAATTGTGGCAGTGTCTGGCGATGAAGGGTATCCTCTCTCCAAATTCTTGTCCTTTATCTGTGGGAGCAAATTACATCCTGCGTTCACCACATCCAGTGGTGTCGGGAAAGGGTGCCCTTCGTCAAACCTCCCCTTTGGCCCTGTAGTTGATGTGCTGCCGCTTGAGTCTTCTTCATCTGGCTCTGACATCCTTCCGATCAAAATACTTCTTGGGTGTTGGATCACGCTGACATACACTGATGATATTGCCTCTCTTCGGTCATATCCCTTAGGAATGCAAATCAATCTAAACCGATAGCTGATACGAAGTAAAAGCTTCACACCTGCAAAGTGCAGTGTCACTGCAAGACTGAAAGGGCTCAAACCCAAAACTCCGGCCCGCACACAAATCAATCGATGTGATAGATAAGCTTGTCTATCTGAGCGAGTGCATAAGTTCCTGTGGATGGTGAGAGACGAAATCACTTTCTGAATTGCAAAGATCCGGGAAGCGTTTTCCAACCGCAGATATTTGTGGCGCTAATGTGACATCAACTTGGTTGTACAGGGTAGAGCGTACAATGCTGCCGTTTGGTTCATCCTAATTTATAGATCACAGAAATGGCCAAAGAGTGCAGATTTTCGAAGCACTGGTGTTTTTGAAGACCTACACACCCGAAGCATTGCGCAGGTCTGGTGGAAACATCGTATCAGTAATGCTGAGGTATGCTAGATCACCCTCAATAGATAAACCGGCCGTGCTCCGAAGGGTACGCTGTCAGAAGAGCGCTGGTCTTCTTTGCCTAGCCATGCATGGGATGCACACGGCCCAGGGGTGGTCAGTCCATGGCTTGGCAACGAAATCGGAAAGCCCTTCTGAGTCGACTGAGTCGTGTTGGTAACTACCGTCTAGCCGGATGGTGACCCCAGGAAGAGACAAACCAATGGTTAGTAACGATGAGAGATATGACTATGTCAAGCAGCAAACGGCTATCCCGCATCAAAGCAATTACCTTCATTCCGTAGCTCTAATACTCCGTCATAGCAGACAAACAGAACAACTTAACGTCGACGGACTGGCTAGATCATTGCCTCCAACACGTGGCTCGAATTCCCTTGTTCTCCTTAACCTCAGTGAACGAAAAGACTGATATCATTGTACTTCGGTACATTGTTTGTAGCTGAAAAACCGACCAACAGACAGACTGTTCGTGTAGTATCTGGTACTCTATAAATGTCAGGCTGACACCGGTCGACTGATTTTGAAAAGATATGATAGGGTCAGATACGTCTTGACTGTGACCGACACGTTGTCGGCTATCTTTCGTCGATATGGTCGTTCAGTTCTAATCACGTACGCGACCCAACAATCACATGTCAATTCTTTTTTTCAGTAAACTGTGTTCTCATTTCATACTTATTATGTTGACTGCGGTGCACACCTGAAATGATGCAACGAAATACATCCGAAACAGTTGAGGCTCTTTTGAAAACCAAATTAATTTCCAGATGAGTGTAGTTCGCGAAAACAGTCCTATTTGGGTTCAAGTAGAACATAATGTTGACGGAAACTCGGGGACGGCGCCTACCTGATGAGCCCCAAGAAGGGCGAAACCGGTCGTGGGCTAACGAAGAGTTTTCAGCAGAGTTGTGAGTAGTTTCCTTTATGAAAACATCCAGATCACATTAGAAGTCTACACAACGAGTAACTGCATGAACTTCCTTGTAACTACGCGACGTCCAACATGGATACCGCACTTCACCTGACACTGGTCAATTCACCTAAGATCCAGAGACCTGCCCACAAAGTTTACAACGTCAAATCACTGAGTTTTCTTCAGAGAATGGTTCCATGACCGAATAAGGGTTAAGCTAACGAAGGTTTTCAGCAGAGTTGTGAGTAGTTTCCTTTATGAAAACATCCAGATCATATTAGAAGTCTACACAACGAGTAACTGCATGAACTTCCTTGTAACTACGCGACGTCCAACATGGATACCGCACTTCACCTGACACTGGTCAATTCACCTAAGATCCAGAGACCTGCCCACAAAGTTTACAACGTCAAATCACTGAGTTTTCTTCAGAGAATGGTTCCATGACCGAATAAGGGTTAAAAAAACTCTATGTGCTCTGCGTGGTTGGTTTACAGAAAATTCCAAACCTTTTAAGAAATCGACTTTTATGAAATTCGGTCAGTAATACTGGGGGAGGGCAGATATTAAACCACAGATCTTAGACACACGTTAGCTGAGTTTGCCTTCACTATGTGATAAAAAAATCGTTCATCTGTAACACCATTTTAGTGCCTAGCTGCCAGCCACCCGAAGCACGAGGGCTGGGATACTGCCAGGTTTCCCAGGCCTAGACAGGGGAAGTCGAGACACAGAGGTCGGGTTGGAACCACAGATGTTCTGCTCTGACTACTGAGCTACCTTGCCCCCTATGAAATCAACATCGTCTGCGCCGGGCTCCTTTTCTGCATTTTTGTACTGACATCCCCACACCCATTATATACGGCCGCCGTTGGTGTGCATCCTCGTTTATTCTAAATCATGACTTCCAGAGCTAGCACCTGAAATGCATGCTTAAACCCAGTGAATTCCGCACTCCTAAGTACACAAAATGTCATGTAGAAACACCACAAATCGCTCAGACTTGCTACCTGGTGAAAAGGAATTTTTACTCCACAGCTTATTCATTGCGGCTACCTGAAAACGAAATAATGTGAGGTGTGAATGCGGTGTTCTGCGGAACCTTTGATTCACCCTACGCGCGATGTATCTGACTATGAATTCGGTGTATGCACCATGCTGTGTGGTGCACCAAACGAATGCCCTCCTAGAGGACCAATGGTTTTCGGATATGAAGAACGTAGATTCTTCATCATCTGCAAATGAATTTATTGACTGAAAGAAAAGTCGGAGGGAACGTAGGGAACAAATAGTCGGGGAAAGTTGCGGAACTTTGAGTGATTATTGCAACTACAAAAGTCGTCGGGATTGACGCCCTAACTCTCAACCGAGGTTCGTGATTGGAATCCAGCCCTGCTTTTGGTTACTTCAGTTGTAGGTTTGGACAACATGGGCGTATCTCAGCATCCGCACTTTCTTCAAGATGCACATCTGTTACAGGCCAAAAGGGTAGGAGCGCTGAGCGACCTAACTTAATAGTGCACTGTGTACTTCAGAAGGCCAACCTGGCTGAAGCATCTGAGCGAATGAAACCAAGAACACAAATGAAATTGGCTGGAATCCTAAGGATATCGATCGGGTGCGCTTGATCGACCCTCATTTATCGCTGACAATCGTCAGCACAAAATGAACACAGTTCAAACCTTGAGGTGAGTTTAGCTATCATTGTCAAAATTATTGGATGATGACTGCACTCTTCATGAAAGGATGGTAATACAAAGGCAAACTGTAGTATGCGCATTCTAGTACCGTTAAAGAAATACAGAGCTGAGCTCCTCCGGGTCTCTGTAAAAGGTTCCACCAAACATTCCTTAGGCGGACAGTGCGCAGGATCACTGGCGTGCGATAAGCTATTCGCTGCAAAAATGTCCACCGAGGCGAAAATCTTCAAATCAATAACTCAGCTGTAACGTCCTTTCGGCGCCTAGCTGCCATGCCTTTCGATGCAACCATTGGGGCTGAGGTATTGCATGACTGTCCAAGAGTAGACAGGAGCAGTCGAAATGTCGGAGTTGGGTTGGAATCCTGGACTTTCTGGTTAGTGAAATCGTACCTTGAACAATGGAATATATCGACTGAAAATCTAAACGAGCATACGGATCTTGTCTCGATGCTCTTGAACAGCTCAAGCTAATGGATTATCGAAGACTCCCCGAGCCTTCTTTTAGTGAGCTGAGCGGTTGAACCGATGAATGTTGGACCACATAGTCCTTGAAAATACAGCGTGCCCCGAACAAACCAGAAAACTGTACAGGGAGCACATACCTCGTCCAAAATGGGTTCTGACGGGGGCTCGAGACGGAGCTCTTCTCTCTTGTACTCGTTGTTCACATAGTACCCGACACGAATAAACTCTTGATTGCGGTACAAAGCCTGTATGAGCACGACAGTCACACCAACAATGTCTTCAGTGGGTATTTTCTTCGGATCTGGAGGATCGGCCTGCAGTGTAAATAACATGTTATGGTAAGTAAGCCGACTTACCTCAAACAGGAACTGATGACGACCAACAGGGACGGGGCCAACAAGAATCGAGTCCAGGGTCTGGTCAAGTGAAGCGTTATATGCACTGCTCACGTAGACCAGTTTCCATTCCAGGTCTATGCAGACAGATAGGAAAAATTTGTGTAAGACTAGAGCCACGGAGAGCCACGGAGTCGGAGAAACATGTCTCGCCTCAATACTACGCACAGGAAGCAATACTGTCAAAGCACACAATCCATGTATTTGTGAAACCGATCGGTTTAAAGTATGTGATCAAATCCAAAGTGAGCGGGCTGTGCCGTTGAAAGCCAATGAATTTGGGATTTGACAATCAAAAATTTAACTGCATAAAACAATTATCAACAGGGAAACAAATAATGTTATATTAAGGACAGAAGAGACCCCAAATAAACGTTGACCCGCATTGTCCCCACCCCCCAGCTTGTGTCCAAATACAGCTCTATCATGCACTTCTTAAGTTGATCTACCGATCGGTCAGCCAATCAACATTTATGTCACATTTGCTCATGATCGGACAATTCAGAAGATGAATGTGTTTCCTTCACATGACCCGGTTTTCCTATTGGTTTGCGCAGTGCTTACGTACCCCTACGTGTGTCAGTTTGGCAATAGATAACACGTTCCGAAGTGGTGCGACTTGGTTTTCCTACAACAGTGAAGTCAAAAGTAGACGTCGAAATAATCTGACTGTTCAAAATCACGACAGTAAAGGATCAACAAGGCAATAGACGAACGAAAACGTTAAAAATTAGACGAAGTGAAGAGGATGAATTTCGGGTAATTGATGAAGTCCCCACGCGCACTGCGTGCCAGTCCAGGAATGTGAAGAGAGGCAAAAAAATTCGAAAACGTAAAATTTGGGGGACATAATCCAGGAATGAATTCATAAATCTGCTTGTTTCTCAATGTACGCCTACTTCAGACTTACAACCCTAAACATGTGCGAGTGAGAATATCAATTATTAAAATGGCAACTATGATAGAAGTAATCTGCGGCGTAGTAGTTGCACTTATCTCCAGGACTGACCACATTTTGTTGGATTGCATTTCAGTGAGCAGTTGTACCTGCTCTGTCGGGCTGTCTGGATAATTCAAGGTAATACGGCTGCGCATCAGCGGAACAGTCATGTGGAACAGAGCCGTGCGATTATGCCCCCACGTCTGAATAACGTCCGATTTCATCATGTGCCGGAGAAAGGTCAAATAAGGACACAGAATGTTCACACCCACTCCATGGCCAAGGCATCCCGTACACAAGCGCACAGACGGCCATCTACGATCAATCGAGACAAAGGAACAACCGCCCGAGGACCGGTGTGGGTGTGTGGGAGACACACTGGTTGGTTGACAGCGGATCGACCGTCAAATACGGTGACAAGTGAATCATATATATAGAAGTTTGTAATTGCGTTAATACACAGTTCCTTCAGGTCGTCTTCTTGTCTTCTGACTATAACCCAGTAGCGTCAGGGCAGGTGAAGAGATACAACACAAGGTCGATACAATATACACAGCTCTGAGTGGTTAAAGTTCGGACGCCAAACAAGATACCAATGGTCAAACAAACAAAACGGACACTGTGATTCTTTCAGACGTGAAACTTCAAATAAGTATATTGATCCCTGTGCGAGCAAGTTCTAGCTGGATCGGAGATGGTGCTCGGCGCACAAACAGACGGAAAACGCCCCTACGGGTGTACCATGACCAACGGGGTATAATAGTACCCATTTTCAAAAAGGTTACCCGCAGTGAATGTGTTGTATCTCTTCACCTGCCCTGACGCTACTGGGTTATAGTCAGAAGACAAGAAGACGACCTGAAGGAACTGTGTATTAACGCAATTACAAACTTCTATA